GGGGGCCTTGTGGACGCTCCGCCCCAACTGAAGCCCGGCTCGCCCAGGTCTGTGGTCTGGGACCGGAACCACACGTCTGCTCTTGGCCTGCTGGACGTGGCACAGGCCCTGGAGCAGAACCGCAGCCTGAAGGCCATGCCTCTGCCACTGAACGATGTGGCCCAGGCACAGCGCAGCCGCCCTGAACTCACAGCACGTGCAGTGCATCAGGTGGGGCTTCCCTCTCTTCCCCTGTCCTGCTTTGCACCTGAGTCCTGTCCCCCTGACACTTCTTGATATCTCTTGTGCCCAGATCCAAGCCTGTCTCTTGAGGAACAACCGCACAGACCATACCTCTACTGAGAGTACCTCCCGCCCACAGCCACTAGATCTGGGGTCAGACCCTTCTGAGCAGGTCAGAGTCCACTCCCTTAACCTTGAGAACACACAGAAAGTAGGGGAGGGGGAGAGCTGTGGCAGCTGAGAGCTTCCATGAATCTGAGGGTCTGACTTTCCTGGGTCCAGGATGCCTGAATTCTGCTGTCCCAGACAAGTCCTTCTCCTTGGTCTGGAGAGGAGCACAGGGCTCCTGAAATAGCTCCCAAAAATAACACTCCTGGCTACCTTTCTTAATCATTTAAATAGGCTCTCCTCTTAAAGATGGGAAGTATTTTTAAATCTTCAGTCAATTCTCCCTACCCCTGATTGTAGCCCTGCTTGTGACTTCCCATTCACAGGGCTCCCTTCCTCTCTCCACTGACCTCTATTGTGGCCAAACCCAGCAACCCTTTTTCTGGCTTCATCTCCCTCTACTACCTTGCCTTGGTGAGATGTTCCCCACATCTCCATTCCCAAATCCCACTTCTCTCCCAAGCTCCAGAACCCAGGCATCTTGACCCAGACATCCTGCAGGGGCTTCACATTCTATACATCTTCATATGATCTCATCATCTCCCACAAACTCATCTCTCTACCCTAGCGCCCAATCTCACTGGTGCCCACACCCACCAAGTACTTTGGACAGAGCTTCAGTCCAGCTCTCTCTTGGCCACACTGAAGCCCCCACAGACCTCCTTGGTTCTGCCTCTTGACAAATTATCAGACACACCACTCCTTACGTGCACCCAACTATCCCTCACTCCCCCAGTCCTTCCTCTATGGCTCCTCATTCCCATTTCTCTCCATCCCTCAGTCTATCCACTACGTGGATGATGAACAGACTGAGTTTCTAAAACACATACATGACTAACAGTTCCTTTCATTCCTATTCTGGTTACTTAGGGTATAAAGTCACTACAATGAACAAAAGGAGACACTGCTCTCCCTCCTTGAACAGATAGGGTTCCTAAGTGGTTGGCCTGATGGTATCGTCTTCAGGACCTCACCCAACCTGCTGGAGACCTTGGGAAGGAGGCAGTCAGGGTCTGGGGGAGTGGGAGAGGACCAGGCTGAGACTGATTCCTCTTTCTCTCTAGGAAGTGAATGAATTGTGTCAGTCAGTGCAGGAGCATGTGGAGCTGCTGGGCTGTGGAGCTGGGCCCCAGGGTGAAGCTGCTGTGCACCAGGCTGAGGATGCCATACAAAATGCCAACTTCTCTCTCAGTGTGAGCACCCCCTCCCCTATGAGAACCCTTACCTTCTTAGGTGTCAAATTGCAAGTCCTTTTCCTCTTTGGCCTCTAGATTCTCCCCATTCTATATGAGGCTGGGAGCTCCCCAAGCCATCAATGGCAGCTGCGGCAGAAGCTGGAGGGCCTCCTGGGACAGGTGGGCGAGGTCTGCCGCCGGGACATTCAGGTGAGATGGTGCCCTTGCCCCAGCCCCACCTCCATATGCAGGCTTGACCTCCATCCATAGGCTTGACTGTGACAACCCATGAGTCAATACTGGTGGGGGAGTGGAGCCTCAAGCCAATTGGTCTGGGCCCCAACCACACCTTCCCCATGCTCTGACCTTTACCCAGGACTTCACTCAGGCCACACTGAACACAACAAGGAGCCTCTGCCCACAGATGCTGCAGGGACCCAGGTGGAGGGAGCAGCTAGAGGGGGTCCTGGTGGGTTCAAGGGGTCTCCCAGAGCTGCTCCCAGAGCACTTGCTGCAAGATGCCTTCACTAGGCTCAGGTAGGCTGGATGGGGCTGGGCTGGACTGAGCTGGGTAGAGACAGCACACTAACCCTTGCCCTCGCTTGCCCTCAGGGACATGCGACTGTCAGTCACAGGGACCTTGGCAGAGAGCATTGTGGCTCAGGCTCTGGCGGGTCTGAGTGCAGCCCGGGATCGGCTGGTGAGTAGGAACTATACACACACACACACACACACACACACACACACACAGTGACCTGGCCTCTGACCTGAAGGGGTTCTGTAACGTCTTCTGGGGCCGTGTAGCCCAAGGGTGTTTCAGGGTTCCCTTAGCACTGGTGGGACTATGGCTGAGGCCCTGCCTGCCCATCTTTGAGGTGCTTGGTATTGCAGGTGGAGAGTCTGGCTCAACAGGCAACAGAGGCAATGCCCCCTGTCGTACTGACACTGGATGGAGTTGAGCCCAGCCCCCTTGGGCCTGGGGAGTTGGAAGGCCTTTTCTTCCCTGAGAAGGAGAAGGAAAAGGAGGATGAAGAGGAGCAGAAGGTAGGTGGTCCCAGAACTGGGCCTAGAATCCCAGATCTTCCTATCTTGTTCTGGAGTGTGGAAGGTGGGGAGGCAGCTCTCTGCCCTAGGCTGAGTTTGCCTTCTCCACCAGGATGACAGTCCTCCACAGGAATGGCCTGAATGCATTCACTGCCTTCACCTAGTCCCCTCCACTCACAGTAAGTCGGGACCCAGGAAAGGGAGTTACTTGGGTTGGACTGAAGCTCTGTTAGACCGGGACACATTCATTCAGCTCTGTCTTGGGAACTCCCTGACCCTTGACGGGGCCAGACCAGGACCCTCGGGCAACCTGCAAAGTTGGAGTTTGCTGTGGTCAGTCAACACCAGGGCCCGGACAACGTCTCCGCTCACCTCCCCCCGCCCCCGCCCCCTTCCCTACCCCCAGGACGCGCATGCTTGGCGGCGGTGCGGAGCCGCGCGCTGCTCGGAGCCGCGCTCAGCACCACGGACAGCGGTGGGGGGAGGGGCGGTCAGGGGGGCGGGCGGTGTAGCCGGGCC